ACCAATCCAGCACGGAGTGCGCACAGGCACACCCACGGTGGGGCACCTTGTTGCGCAAGAGCAGTAGAGGAAGAATGTCCTATTCGCAAGGCGGGGGACGTGACCAGGAGCATCACCAGCATCTGGTCCCGAAAAAAACGTGTGTGGGATGTATGTGTTGGTCTGTGGGGCAATCTCCCGTGGGTTGACGAACTTCAAATGCACAGACGAATTGGCGGCTTTCCGTCGGACGAGGGTCGATTCAAAGTGTCACATGCATAGACATCGTGTCAGTACCACACAGAGACCATGTACGCGTTTGGTGTGTGCTTCTCGGGAGCGATAGCTCCCCATGTGGTGTGGCCACGTCATAGCAGTACGTCACAACAGCAATCTGGCAGTTGGCAAGCGGCGGACCTCTCGGGTTGTTCGTGGTGGACTGCAGAAATTCGTTTCCATTTGGCAGATCTCCCGTTAAGACACACAGGCCATTTCTGTCCGGATTTGGGTAGATCCGGCTCTTGTATTCTTATAATCAAATTCGAAATCGAGAACCGATTCTTCGTTAAGACCGGCCCTGACGTCTGCGCGGCGTCTTCTCACTTGAACTTAACTCTGCGAAATGGCACGCCTGTGATATGAATCGCGTCTTTATCCGAAACGAACAGTTCCGATGTGCGACGGCGGAATTGTCGGCATCCAGCAGAGCGATGTATGCTGCTCCTTAAGCTGCGGGTCTTGCGGAGGTACCGGGTGCACTTCCCGAGACGGTGGATCCGAAGCCTGCTGTGGTGGAGGAGTCAGGGCCTCCGGCCGCGATTGCTCTGTTACGGGGGAAGCACCCTGCGTTTTGACTGGTGAGTCTCGAGTATCGAACGGCGCTTTGTTCGAACACCGAAGTGACGAACTTATACTCTTGGAAATTATGTCGTTAGAGTTGACTCCTCCGACTTTGGACCCTCAGTCACTGCAGAAATATAACATTAGCTCCCCAATGCTCTCACTCGATATTGGAGAGGTAGTTCGAACGGTGGGAATCTTGATGCTTGTGCTGAGCATTCAAAACCTAACATTAAGTTGAAACGGCCAGCTCCAATTCTCTCCGTTCAGGCACTTGTTGATACGGCAGTGTTCAGACCACATCGGAAACAGGCAGCGCTATCGGAAGACTAACGTTCCGGTTCTATGCATCATCGACATATGCCGTTGAACGTCCTCTTGTCTGGCAACACCGCGCCAAAAATACGATGAACGGATGCTTGCACTATTTGTCAAACAGGCCCGGCCTTCACGCCGGAACCAACGCCGACCCCTACGCTGCCCCCTACAGATGAAGGTAAGCGGTGCTCCGTTGCCGCCTCGTGCCAAAACCTTTAGTAAGTCTTGAGCATCAGATATACTTCACACCTGAACACCGTCCACTGTACACGACTTGATATTCGTGGCTCCTCGACCCTGTACGTGCTTGGTGCTGCAGCTTCGATATCCTGATCATGATCAGAACAGCAAGACTGACCATGGGTTTGAGCACCCCGTTATAGCGAGGGGTTTTGAGCACCCCGTCATTGCTCATGTAGCAGGGGCGCCTGTTGTGCCTATGTATACGAGGTCAGCGGATGTTGTGTTCCATCTGCAGGACGGTTATCGACTCTTTGACTGATCGGCGAATTTCCCCCGCGTTTCGCGCTGTCTCGTCTTGATTTTCGGTGAGTGCGCTTTGCTTGACCGACACCGTATCTCTGAACTACCTGACGAAAAACTGAAACCGTCAGCTAGAATTAAGGCTCCTCAGTTTAGCCGGATTCCCGAGTGGTACGAGCGGTCCCGAGGGTCGTTTGCCCTTCTCCTGGGACCCTGTATGTCCCGTGACCAGAAATGAAGCTAGAAACAAGCGTTTGACAAGCGTTTTGAAAAACCTCAAAGCAAAATGTGTGCACGTTTTCTGAGTCGTAGTCAGTATGACGGCGATGAAGTGTTCCACGTTCTGGCCTCCCCCCAAACTCATGGAACACTTGTTTTCTTTCCCTCCGTCTGTCTTTCGTCCGATATTTCTTCCTCCTTTGTTGGCATCGGCTCTTTGTTCCGTCATGTGTTTCACAAGGGGCGACGCCTGTGCCGTCGTCAGCGTCAACTCCCACACCAATGATTGCCCCGGTCTCAGGTACGTGTCCCTGAGTCGCCACCGTGGATCACCAAACGTTCTGTACGTGCAGGTATTCAGTTTCCTTCCGACCGTTCCACATATACGACCGACAATCTCGGTGTAACGGTAGCCAATGGCGATAGTTTGTCAGCGCGTGACACACTTGCTTGCCCGGCATGGATACAGTCGAGGGACCCTTTTAGTGCCGGTACGTGCACAGAGCGTTCACCGGCACTAAATCGGGCACCCGGCACTATTGCGAATAGTGCCAAAACGGCACTATTGAGGGCTGGCCAATCCCTCATTAGTGCCGGTACCGGCACTAATGAGGTTGTGTTCGATTTATGGTGTAGCGCCCACGCTTACGGGGCCAGCAAAGAACGAAATGGATCGACACTATTATTACTGTACTGTTGAGTGAAGTTCCAGCATGGGCGTGGGCAGAGTTGAGTTTTCTTTTTGTTGTCTTGGGGCGCTCTTTGGTTCTTCATTTTCTTCTGCACCTCACTTATTTGCGTATTTGTGTACTGTCGTCGGGACAAATTCTCTCCTGTTTGCCTGGCGCACCCGCTTCGATGTTGCAAGAAAAAAAAACGACAAGCACGACAGGCAGCGCACCGCAAAAAATCAAACAACCGTTACCACAGCTGTAACCCCTGCCCTCACTACTGTACGTCGGGACAAATTCTCTCCTTTTTGCCTAGCGCACCCGCTTCCATGTTGCAAGAAAAAAAAAAAATGACATGCACGACGGGCAGCGCACCGCAAAAATCAAACAACCGTTTTTTTAGTGCCACAGCTGTTCCCCGCCCTTACTCCGTAGCAACAAACTCCCTCATGTCTGCCTGGCGCACCCGCCTCTTGGAATGCGCTGCAATCATCGCCATCTTCGCTTTCGCTAGGTATAGCGCCGCGTCTCCATTGCCGCTCTCCTCTGCTGCCGCTTCCAGGACGCCGAAGTGAGACGACAGTTCACCATAAGCCGGTGGGACACGGCGCGCGAGCCCCGTGTTGTCATCGCCGCTGTCCTCCTCCTCGTCCTCCTCCTCGCGGCCGGTAGACACTCGAGTCCCAGCCAGCTGTGCCGTCATGTCTTCCACCGTATCCTCTCTGAGAGCCTCAACCACTTCATCGTCGTCCTCGATGGTAGCCCACCCTTGAACCCTCGCCTTCACTTCCTTAGAAGCTGCTGGATCAGCCAGCAGGGTTGCCCTGGCGGCACGGCCGAAGCTTCGAAGGACGTCGCGCGTGACGGGCATCTTGGTCTTCCGGGCTTTCTCTAGTAGGTCAAGAGCTATGGCGTACACCTATTGAGCGTCAAACGAGGAGTAAACAATAAAGAGGGTACAAAAGATAGCACGATTAGTTTCGAACATTAAGCCTCGTTGCACAGTGCATCGTAGTGGGAAGGAAACATTTCCGGGCATTTGAAAAACCACAGAAGCTCGCCGCTGCATCCGCATGTGTTTTTATGTATTGTAACTCGTTTGAAAGAATAGGTGTGCGTGCGATGTAATGTACCAGTACAGTACAATACAATTACACATTTATTTTTGGTTCGCAGTTTATATGCTGGCGCAGCAGCGCACGAACGATAAAACAACGAAGAAAGTTGAAAAAAAAGGTAACACAAAAAAAGATACAAACGAACGACGAGAGGGAACAAGCTCAACAAGTACTGTAACAGTCGAGAAATAGAAGAAAAATGGGGAAAGGGAACAGAGAACAGGGAACAACTTGACAAGAGAAGAAGAAAAAAGAGCAAGAACATCAGATAGACGAACAAGGCTACAGAAAAAGGTCCTTGCAAAAAAGAAAACTCTTTGCAAACAAGGCCCGGCAAAAAAAAAAGGCAAACAAGGCGCGGGAACTACGCGTATTTTTTTGAAAAAACAACAGCAGAGTGGCGCACCTCCGGATTATTGCCTGTGCGCACGTTTTTCTTGCTTCCTCCGCGTCCTGCAGCAGCCTCGGTCTCGTACTTCTTCCTGTTCTTCTTCACATCCCGGACCAACCGTTCCGAGCACTTGAAGCGATCTGCTATCTGCTCATGAGTCACCTTCTGATCCATCAGCTTCAGCATCTCACACTTGGCGCTGAAATCTGGCCGCGCACGAGGCTGAGACTTGTTACTCCCCCCATTCGTGGCCTTCGGGCGTTTAGATTGTGCCTTCCCAGTGCTGTCTGCTGCTGACACTTTGCGCTTGCCGGCTTTGGCGACGCACGCGCTGCAGATGCGGTGATTCTCGTTGCCTACGTCAACCACACTGCCGCAAATGCCGTGCAGTCGCCCGCCACATCCTCCCTGGCAGCCGTGACCATGAGGGTCTTGCGGCGTGGTGTCCTGTAGTTGGCACAGTTCACCTTCCGCACAGGGCATGGTACGCCCCTGTGTAGAGCTGTTCGGGTCTGCAGCAGCACGTGTACCCTATTTCTGTGTGTGGAGTCTATGTTTTCTGCCCTGGGTTGTGCGTGTGTGTGTTTCGCGCGTGCGGAGTACCGGCACTATTGGGGGTGACAGCAGTGCCGAACCGGCACTATATCGGGCATGCTTTCATTAGTGCCGGTCTGGCACTATTGAGAGCTCCGCCTGTGTGCAGTGATTTTACCGGCACTATACCGGGCATCTGGCACTATTCAACCGGCACTAAAAGGGTCCCTCGACTGTAGCTGGATCACATCTGAATTCCTCATATCTACCAACGGTGTGGACGGTTGATTTCCCTGTTTGAGAAATCGCCATCATCACTTCTTGCAGTCGGTGTATCATTTCTTGATGACTCCAAACCAATCTCAAAACGTCCTCGTTGCCGTCGCCATTTCCTGTCCAAACTTCCCACGCGGGGGGTCCTACGCGTGCTCGCTATACTTCCGCGGCATGTACGGTGAGTTTGCTTGACCGAGCAACATGTTCAGTTGGTAATCTAGCTGGCACCTCATCGTAGTACCGCCCGTTGGTAATTTGAGTTACATTAAAGGGAAACCTTCCCAACTTGAGCTTTTGGAAGCAAAATTGTCTTGTGCCAACTGCACGGGTGGCTGTGGTAGGCTCTTGCCTTTGACCATTCTGCCCCAACTTCGCCGCGCATGTGCCCTACGCGATCTTCCGCCGATTTTTGCATTTCAGGTAATACCACTTCGGCCCCCACCACCTCGGCCCCTACCACGTCAGTAGTTCCTACCAACTCCTCACTGGAGTTTGTAAGTACTGTGCGAATGGAAGTTGGAGATGACATTACTATTTTGGGGTGTTCAGATTCATGGATCTATGTGGAGTCGCCAACTTCACCTACCATTCAACCAGATGAGCTTTTGCTCATTATGAATGGTCAAGAAGGCGTGTCATATGCAGACACCCTGGTTGATTCGTGTGAATGTTTTCCCCTAATGAGGAAGATTGTTGGGATCGAAGCTTCTCAAGAGCACAGTGGGATTAGTTGTGCTGGGTCGAGTTGTTGGATCCTGACCTCAGAATTGCTGACCCCGCTTGACACCGTCTCTGGTACGGATGTTGATGACCTCGGTTTAACCGAGCTCCAAGACGTTCCCTGGGAGTCTCTCGCAGGGAGCATATGTGTTCCGAGTGAGATCAATGGTCGTAAACTGTTGGGGGAATGTAGGGATGCATGGGAAGGTCCACCTTGTCCCTACAATGATTGTCCGGATGGCAAATGTTATGAATGTTCGTCAAACCCGAGCGGTTGTGATAATGGATGTGGTCCGGCGGATTGGCCGAGTGCAGCTACTAGAATTATCGCAGAACTCACACCGTTCGGCAACGGGTGTTGCAACCATGACTACTGCTGGTCTGCCAGACCTGACGACAAGAGTGGCTGTGATTTGGAATTTTGGGGGGATAACCTCGCCGGATGTTGGACTACTTTTGGGTTTCTTGCGATTATTAACCCTAAACCCTTAGCCGCATGTAACATTGTCGGCACAGCGTTTTATCTTGCTGTTGCTCTGGGTGGGAATGACGCCCATGAAGAGGCCGTCCAGAAACAGCGAGATTGGGAAGAAACCTGCCAAGCCACACCCGCACCCTCTCCCACGCCCGAACCGGTAAGCCTCCCTATTGGCCGGTTATCGTTGCTGGAAATTCGAGACGGATCTCCCTTCCTGCGATCGTACGCGTATTTCTCGTATTCGTTTGCTCCGAGCCGTCGTTTCAAACTACAGGAGGTATTCCGCGCTAGGGCTCTGCCGGGTCATTCGGGGACAACAATCGCGCCGGCACAGTCTAACACGTGCCTAACATACGATACACACGCTTTGGAGGGCAGAGCGTACCCCGGCTGCCTCCAGCCAGGCTGGAAACGTGGATCGGTCCGGGCCACACATGACATTGAACGAATGAAGTACCATCGACAATTGATTAGGCCATACGAACTGCTGTACCAGTGCTGAGTTTGGTGTTTCGGCGGATAGGCCGGAAACAGCACGATGTCGATGCCTAGGCCGAGGGAGCCGTAATGCTTTGGTTAATCCACCGTAGTTTTCCCCCACTTGTTGCTGATCTTATCAACAACCACATGGACATAAACTTACCCGCTCTTTCAACCCACCCCCTTCGTATCATTCTGCCGGTCGCAATCCATCTTCGACCCCTTCCTTCTTCCCGGTTTCCCGTGCAGAAACGCGGTAAGGAGAGATGGAAGAAGCCTCCAGCGTAATATATTTTGTCTGATACGCGCTTTCGGCGTATACTGAGAGAGTTTAAGGCGTACCCCACTTGTGGCCGTGGCCTCGCCGCCCAAGCCCATGCTTGACCTTCTACCGATGACCTGTTCCACCTTGTCTGGCCTGCAATGTCAGGTGGATCCGCAGACGGAGATCCTCACTTGCGGGTCTACGACGGCACCGGGTACGACTGCCACGGGCAGGGCGAGTTTGTGTTGACCAAGGCTGCCGCCACGGAGAGCGAAGTCCAGGCCCGTTTCCAGCAGTGGAGCCAAAACCCGGACCCAGCGGTCACCGTCACCACCGGCATCGCAGCGCGCGAGGGAACCTCTTCTTTGATCCAGGTGACGACGGCTGCCTCCGGCGGTGTCGAGGTCTTGGTGGATGGAGAGCTGTACGACGCGAGTGCTTCTTCTGTCATCGGAATTGCGCTCGAGGTCACGTCGTCTCGGGTGGAAATTAGCTTTGAGTCGGGACTAGACGTGTTCGTGTCAACCAGCATTAACGGAATGCTGAGGGTCAACGCGTATGCGCCCGTCAGCCTCGCCACTACGGGTCTCCTCGGCAACAACAACGGAGAGCTGGGCGACGACTTTACGGTGAGCGTGAGAAAAGACCTGGCGAATCAAATCATGCAACGATTTTTTCAGTCATGCACTGCGGTTATGCCTCACCAAGACCTCGGTTGGTGCTGCATTGTGCGTTGTACCTCTGCCAGCATCTACATGAATTAAAGGCCGCCGCTGTTTGCTTCAACTTGAAGTGTTACCGAAGTACTTCCGCGACTCTTGTTCCTCCCTCCCGTCAATTTGTTCGCCGATAACCGGTGTTGTCCGTGCGTCGAACTTGTGCCCGTCTGCACTTACTGTACCCCTCTCTCCCTACTCCACACACCTCATCGAGTAGAACAGGAGATATTTTGACGCTTGAGGTCCCTCCCCTTGCTGAACGCGGCAGACCGTGGACGGAGAGACTGTCGGCTTCGCGACTGCCTCACCGACAGTGGAAGAAGGCACGAACTACTGCACCACGAACTGGTGCACCACGGCAGACGCGTCTCTCTTCACCTACGCGGAGGGGGAGGACCACGGCACGTTCGACTTGTGCGACGCGGTCTACGCGGCGCCCGTGTTGCCCGATACCATCCCGGCGTCAATCACAGAGGTACGTTCGGGAGAACACATCGGGTTTCGGCGAAATACCAAAAACTCGAACACATGTCCTCGGGGTCCCTGGGGCGCACTGTAGCTGGCCGCGTTTGTTTTGAGTGCGATTCGACACGGTTACATAGACTACAACGTCGACATGTGCCCTCCATGAAGGAGCAGAGCTGTTTTCGTGATCGATCGCACAGTAGTAAATAGAGCGTCAGGGGCTCCCATACTTCTCGTCATCATGCCTACCCGAACTTGGTTCTCCCCAGCGATGCCATGTCGACCGGTTCACTCCTCCCGCCACTTTACGTAAAAACTTATCTCAGCTATGCGGCGACAACGCCGACTGCATCATAGACGCCCTTCTTGCTGGCGAGGAGGTGGGTCAGGCGACGCTCGAAGGACAAGCGGAGGATCGAGCCTACCAGGAAGAAGTTGCGGGCAAGTGTACTGATGGCGGTGGTGGTCGTGGACTCCGTCGTTTCCCTTTCCAATGCGCCTGCTCCTGCCAAATCAACCCAGTTTGCAGCATGGATGAAGCGGTCTGCGTAGTGAAAATATGAATCAAACGCTCTCTTACCCTTGACCACATGTGGTACACGACTTGCGTGGATCCTGCATCATTGTAGCTGGTGGTGGCGAGGGTGGGTTGTTGAGTCTAAATAGGTCCCCTGAAGAGACCTTTTTTCACAGGTTGGACGCAGGCTAGATGTACCGGCGACTGATTTAGTCACATAGAAAACTGAATAGCGAAAGAACCTGGGATAACGGGTAAATGGATAATTGCAGGTCAAAGAGAAGAACTGCGCCGCCGGTTGGTTTGGGAGAAACCTTGATCTTCTCCAGCGACGCGCTTGTTATGGTGACTGTTTTTCGGAATCCCTCGCGCTGAACGGGGCCTGTCATCACTACCGCGTAGCTGTGTGGTGGAAACCTGACAAATTACACGCCTTTTAGGCGGGTAAAAGCCGTCGATGCTGGCAGCAACCGGGTCAAAACGCAGCCCTTGTGGCATCAACACCCGCAGTCACCGCCAACTCTGCCAGGCACATTATGCAACCTCGATCTCGAATTAAATTAAGCCCCACGCGTTGTTTGCACCAAACGTACCTGAACCCACGAAACAGGTTTGTGCGCGAGCAATTCTTTTCAGCAGCACCGGTGCGCCGCCCTGCACGACTTGCCCCGACGGAGAGGTTTCCGGCACCGGCGCGACCGCGTGCATCCGTCAAGGTGCAGTCAATTTTGACCTACTGAGCCTGTAGCCCCGAACGTTTGTGCCCGAGCGCAGTCTAAAGCCGCTGGCTGCGTTCAAATGCCGCGCACACAACATGGCATGAAGGAATTTCCTGAGAACAACCATGTACGTTATTGGGAAAATTGTCAGCGGTCAGGCGTTGGAAGTATATACGCCGATGTTGAGGCGCACCTGCCGCCAAACCTAACGGTGTTCGAAATGACATGGAGCTGGCAACGGACTGCTGACTAAGGTATAGAACTCACAAAGAATGGGGCTGCTGAAGTGTTCAGGAGGTTGTCTCTTCTCCTCCATTAACAACCTCCTGGAGAGGCAAATTGCGACCCAAAGCTGGCTACAAGACATTGTTCAACACCTTATGACATGCACCACATTACGTTCGTGCGTCAACGAGGGACGCAGCATACAAGAACCTACGCTTTCCTTCGTATGTATTGCAAGTTCTCGTTACCATCGTGTGGCTCTTGCTGACGCCGTGAAACCCTTGTTGCTCTCGCGTTGCTTTTCCTTTCCAGAGCTCGTGGGTCTGAGTCTCCCCGAGAACATCGCCGCTGCCATGGCAGCTGACGTAAGTTTGCTTACACGCAGCTCTATCTAGCTAGCAATAGCGGTGCGAAAAATGTTCACCTCTCGCGATCCTATGTTAATGGTGGCACGCTTCATGGCTCGCGTGTCCGTACCATGTTGTTTATCACTGAACGAGGCCTTTGAGACGTCGTTGGCCAAGACGCCGTTGGTATCGAAATCTGTTTGTTCCCGCGAGGACATGGATCGTGGTCTCTTGGTCGCATCTCTCCGCCTTGGGAGCACCGCACCAGAAGCTGCCAAGCCGTCAGGTAGATACGGCCATGCACAGCCGAGCTCTACGACATGTAGCGTGCCGTGGACACAACATCGGGCCCATCCGGCCGGTGGCCCGTTGCAGCTTCTTGTCCAGGCAGACCACCGTCACCAAGTTCGTTGGCACAGAAGTAACGTTCGAATTTGAACGAGAAGTTGTGAAGGTCGCATAAAAACCCCTCCTGCGTACCGTGAACTTCTCCATGCACAGGCCATGGGCGGCTTTGCCGGCCCGGGATCCCTCACCACGACACCGGCGGGAACGATCCAGCTCACCGAGGAGGACGGCGGCTCCGTGTCGCTGTCCGGCACTTTCGTTCGCGACGACGGCGCGGCGCTGCCGAGCTCGACTTCCGTCTTCATCTACACCGAGAACACGGCACAGCCGGACGACTTCGTCCGCGGCCAGGAGGCACTGGATCCCTCGACGGGGGCGTTCTCGACGGTGGTGACCGACATCCCAGCGGGCAGCAGCAGGTTGCTCCTCAGCTTCGTCGTCGTGGATCCCGCGGAGGCACTTGATACCGCGGGAGCCGACACGGCGTTTGCGCTCGACGTCTCCAACTCTGCCTGTGTACCGTCGCTGACGATCACCCTGGAGTGGACCGGCGAGACATCTGACGTAGATCTCTATGTCGTCGAGCCCGGCGGAGAGGTCGTCTACTTCAGCAACCGGGGTGGGGTAAGCGAAGTGCCGAAGGAAAGAGTCGTTTCAGGCCCGTCTGACCGGCCGTTGTGGCCTGTTGCCGTTGGATGTCAACTTGGGGAAGTCGAACATGCGTTAGCGCGCAAGGGTCGGCCGCACAGCAGTGTTCAGTGGCATCAAGCGTAGCCGTGAGCACTCCCTTACAGTACCCATGATGGAAGCTGTCGTCACTTATTGCTTATCCCCGCCTCTCCTCACGAACCTGCTGCTGATTCCGTAGGACGTCGGGTTCCTCGACAACGACGATACTTACGGGTTCGGGCCCGAGAACTACATCATCGACAGCGCACTCGATCCCGCCGCCAGCCAGGTGCTTGGCGAGTACGAGACGTACGTCAAACTCTACTCAGGCGACGCGGCCACGGAAACTTGGCGCCTGACTGCCCGCGTTTCCGGAGAAGTGGTGTGGATCGAGGAGGGTGATTTCATCTCCTCCACCCAATCTGATACTTTTGCCGTCTCTCTGAGTGTCTACGATCCCACTTGCGGAGGTGTCCCGTGAGTTGCCAACTCACCGTCCCATTTCAGCAACACCGCCGGCTGTTGCAGAGGAGCAATGGCAGCAGTTTGAGAATTCCGCCAGGCGTTGCCTGAATTCGCCGCGAGGAAGCCCCTCCACGGAGCAGAGAGCGAGCGAGCGAGAGAGAGGACCATTTGTGGTAATTGGCGAAGAGTGTCTATGTGCCTTCCAGGTTGCATCATGCTGATTTTCTTACGAACCCGCTGGACCAAGGGGCACTCTTCTTGCACAGGCAGCGATGAACCTCTAGCTAGCGGTTTCACGTACCTTTATGTGTACCTTCTAAATAAGTGTTCTGATTGTGACGTTTCTGATGGTGAGTTTTGAGATGCAACGTGTGGTACCATCCCAGGATGAAGGTCACGTGAGGCTCAGACTTGGAGATGCCTGAGGTAACTGATTCGGCTACCGTGGCAACGTATTGTGCGTGTAATCTAGAACCAGGTGCAGTGTTTTTCATGGTTTTCTATTGCAGCGGCACTGCGTACAAGCATCATGGGGGGGGGGGGTGATGTACCATGCTCCTTGCACACAGCAGTGCAGATTTCCGTGCTTTCCGTTGGCCGTGCGTCCGCTTTGCCTATGCGTGAGGGAGCAGGCGGGGGGCGAAGATTGAAAGCCGTGTGTTGTGAGATTTTCGGTAGTCTTGAGATGGGCATTTGATTGTTTGATATAGTTGCTCAACGTTTCACGTTAGCCTTCCTTATACCTGACGGAGTAGGGGGGCCGACGTAAAAAACACCAGTTTATATATTTTGGTTTTTTTGCCCTTGAGCAGTACTTGTGTGATTGCATTGCTTACATTGCAACACTGAGGACTTGGGAACGTTACTTGCGCCTCGGTTAAGGATTGCCCCCCCCGCCCCCCAATGGGGCTGGGGGCCAACATCCAGGACGGATGGTGGTGAGTGTCCGGGAGGAAGGAAAGAAGAAGAAGAAGGGGAGAGGATTTGTAGGGGCGGGAAGAAGGGACGGTGTTGGGAGAGGCAAGAGGAGTGGTGAAGAATTTCGGCACTCGACGAGCGCGCGGTCCCGTCGGGGGTGAAAGGTCTGTAGTCTTGTCTATCGGAATCGAAAAGCCGAAAAATCGAGGTTTACATTATGAACATAACGATGGAGAAGGCCGACGGTACGAAGAGAGGAAATTGCACCCTACGTTCGAAGTTCGAAGTCGGTGTGAAAATCGCGGCAAGGAAGGAGCGCGAAGGAAAAAAAAAAAAAGGAGACGTCGACGTTTGTTTGCGTCGTGGAACGATCCTTCCGGATGCCGACCTATGACACTCTCGGAATGTAGGGATTCCTACAAGTTCCAACAGGTATAATCCACAAGTAAGTGCGGACATATGAAGGTACTGGGTAGAGAGAGATCGGAACGGTTTTTAATGTGAATACACAACAACAACAACAATGATGCGACCCGTCCTGCGTCGTTCGGTGTGACAAGTGCGAAACATTGACTGCGTAAAGATCCAGCGGTCTTTTTCGGCAGTGGCAAAGAAATATACAACCACACGTCGCAAAAAAACAAAAAGTTGAGCGGGATACCGTAGGAAATAGAACACCGCCTTCTCTGTTGTTGCAGCATTTGGGAACGTTGGACACCATCTGTCTGTGTATACGCGTGCTGGGTCGTCCAGATCAATAGCGCGCCCCTTAGAGAGATGAACATGTATTGCAACTGTTAAAAAAGAGGAGGAGACAGAGGTGGCGGCAGAGCATAGAATGAAGTTTGCACAGCATGATGTTACGGATGAACTTGGGTGGCTGCGAGCCCCGGGTTTTGGGGTTTCCGACTGTGGCTATGATCGCGCCGGGTGCACCCGTTTCTTAGGCCCAAAGCTCATACTTGAAACAAAAATCTGCGAAACATTCGATGTGACCATGGGGATCTAGCCAGGTAAATTAATTGCATCCAGCTGCACCAGGTGTCTGTTACGCGAGAAGTGCTTAATTTCCTCCGTACGCCCTTGCTTACATACCGATCGGTATATTTCGTGGATACCACAGGCATTTAGTGGAATATTCCCTGGAAGTTAGTCAGAAGTTAGTCGGTATTGAGCGCGAAAGCGTCACCTTTTCGTGGAATTCTTTGTTGGTCTGCATTGTGGCAAGGTTCCAATAGTACCCAGGTAGGTCTGCTGCTGTAAAAAGTTGGACGGGGTTGTTTTTATTTATTTATTATTTATTTATTTCTTAATCGTTGTTGCTGTTGTTGTTGTTGTCTTCACATTAAAAAAACGTTCCGATCTCTCTCTACCCAGTACCTTCGTATGTCCGTACTGATTCAACACTCGACGCAGTCGATTCCCGTGGTCACAGGTAAACTTACCCTAAAAAGGTACACTCAAATAAACTTGCCTTAGATATGACACAACGAATCGTTTGTTTGTTGTTGTACGCCACAGCTTTCATATCTAAAATAATTTTGCTTGTGCTTCAAGTTTTCGAACATACATCACATGCGTAATGTGTATCTTTGCCGGGTATTTTTCCAAGAGTATTTGTTTGTGTTTCGACTTCTTGAAAATTTGGTAAAGCATTTTTCTCAAGAGGGTGAATTGTTTATTGACAGACCTTTTAGGAGATAGTAATTTGATATCATCAAAGGTTTTGAAAGATTTCGTAGAGCATGTTTTATTGGGAGATCGACAGATTTCGTAGAACATTGTTTTATTGGGAAATTGTTTGAATTGGAATGAATGGTTGATGATTTCCGTGTGGATGCGTAGTTTGATTTATCGCCGTTTTAACTAACTGGCAATGATAGTCGTGACGAGGATTTCGTAGATCGTATCTCGTACCAAGCAGGGGGGCTGTTTGGGGTGCTCGGCAGAGTATACTGTCTACGGGGCCTCCGGGGGGTACGCGGATGAAATGTGTTGATGGGCATGCTGCATGGCGATGGTGTTGCCTACCGCATGTCTCTCACTCTCTAATCAACCAAGGTCTTGAGTCAACCTTCTTTCTCTTTCGGCCTCTGACGGGCTACCGCACCCAAACAAGCTCGTCTACCTTTGGGCAGGTGGTGGTCAAAGATGGGAGTCGCAACCGTGAAAAATGAGCTGGCAAACTGAAGAAATCGCAAGCAACACCCAGGTTGCGACACTCTGCCCTGCGTCTGTTGTTGCTGAAAACTGAAAACAGCAGGCCAGGTGGACGGGATCTTTCTAAGTGTGTTGTCCTCTGTGTCGGGTGCTGCTTATTACGCTTTCACCGCTGCTCTATGGTGAGCAAGCGATGTCAACCTGTTGTGTGTCGAGCAAAGCGTGTATTCAGGGAAGGAAACGAACTCTTCGCGATGACATCACGATTAGAACAAGGGAAAAATAATCGGATCTTCTTTTCACCGTTCCGTGAAAAAAACGTTTTTTTTCGTTGCGTTAACAATAACCCTAAGGGTTCTTCTTATCGACCAATAAAACACGAAAAAAAAAACGAACCCGTGTTTTCTTGAACACATATGGGGGCGTTTTTCCCCGAAAGCGTGAAAAGAAAGAGCCGGGTTTTTTTGGGGCTTGCTACTTAAACGAATTCGTGTTTTTGACAGAAGCATCGGACAAGCGCACCGCGGGCGCTGTAACATCACTGAGAACGCTAGAAAGACCTGCCAGACTCACGTCCAGGTCTGTTGTGGAGATGGACAAGCGGCAGAAGCGGCGTTCAGTCCGTTCTTGGCCCAAAACTAGACATTGCGTGGTGCTCTCGTCTTCAACTGCTGCTGTTGGTGCTGGGGAATTTTTTTCGATCACACATTGCAAACACGGTAACAGTAGAACGAGTACAGCAGCACCACAAAGACCTCCAAAGCGCTGATTCCTTTGGTTCGGCTGTCTATATGATACCATCTCCCGGCGCCGTGCTGCTTCGTGGGTATTGAGTGCTTGGGTGCTGCTCAATAAGGTGTGTGAGAGATGTGTGCCACCTCACCAAAATGCCGTTGGAAAAATTGCGGCGAGATGATCTGTTTTTGGTCGGACACATCAACATCAATCCACGGCGTCATGCAGCAGCAGTAGAGCAACAGGGCCTCCAACACGCTAATTCTTTCGGATTGGCCATCTATATGATGCTGGCCGTCAGCGCGGCTGCCGCCCTATGATTGTTGAGCTCGTCTACCTTTGGGTAGGTGGTGGTCAAAGATGGGAGTCGCAACCGTGAAAAATGAGCTGGCAAACTGAAGAAATCGCAAGCAACACCCAGGTTGCGACACTCTGCCGTGCGCCTGTTGTTGCTGAAAACTGAAAACAGCAGGCCGGGTGGACGGGATCTTTCTAAGTGTGTTGTCCTCTGTGCCGGGTGCTGCTTATTGCGCTTTTATCGCTGCTCTATGGTGAGCAATACCATGCCAACCTGTTGTGTGCCGAGCAAAGCGTGTATTCAGGGAAGGAAACGTACTTTTTGCGATGACATCACGAAAAGAACAAGCAAAAAAAAGTCGGGTTTTCTTTTAACCGTTCCGTTTAAAAAAGAACGATTTCGACGTTGCGTTAATAATAACCCTATAAACGACTGAATTCTGCACGATTGTGAGCGAGTCCAACCTCTCTAAAAAAGATCGTCAGTTGAAGCAAGCAGCAACTGAACCAACAGCAAACGCCCCTGCGTGTAAACGACACTAAAGTTATCTCTACGTCCTCCACCATGTCACAGTGGTTATAACGCTATTGCTTAAGGTAGCTCACTCATGTGTTAGCGTAACAAGCACTGGCTAGGGTTCGATTAGTTTCTTCCATTTCATGGTCAGGTTCATCCATTTCATGGTCAGGTTCATGGTCTCTTGCCATTTAAGTCAAGGGGGCACTAACAAGGGGGGACTAATCAAGGAGGGACTAGCAAGGGGGGTCTACCTCCTGCATTGACTCACAACTGGTTGCTGCTTAGCGATGTGGGTCAAAGTTCCTCTTCCGAGATTGGCCGTGTTAACAGTGAGCGATCACCCAAAACACGTGTTGAGGCGGAGCTCTAGAGGGGCTCCGCCAACG